TAGTCTACCTTAGGGTGGTGCTGAAATGTGTGACTAGGTGCAGTAGACATTGATGTGTAAAGTAAAAGAAAATTATTGAGAGGTTAGACAGAAACAACGACATTAATATACATACATACATACCAAATACGTACACATACATAAATACTTTCCTAGTTATGTATACAGTTATGTGGTTTATAGTTATTATATTATGATATAGAATGATTGTACAAAAGCGAATATTTGTAAATATAAACAATTGCAAATTCAATTACTTAGAGATATAAAGATAGATTTTTTTTTGATTCAAGTTAACATAGGGGTGTCAAATAAATTAAAATGCTTTATTTATTTCTTCGCTAAATCATTAATTCAATTCATTTAAAATATTTACTTTGTTTAGTTATTATTAACACTAGTGACGTATCCGATTTCGAAACATTGTCTTAAAGAGGTATAAATTAAAAAGGTAGTAAATAAAAAAGAGATTGAAGTTAAAAAAACAGATAATATAGATTTTTTTGATAGAACTCGTTCCATCAGAAATGTGCTTTTGCATTGTTTAATACAGCATTAGACCGTCTGCCGTGGTCAGGTGAAAGTTAAGGGAGCGTCGTAAGGGGATTAGCAGCCAACCGTAGGTGTTACCTACATCGACCCGACAAGGCGACTCTCTAAATTAAACTCAAACAAACTTGATTTTTGAGTTACTGCTTAGTTAGGACAATTCAATTGTCTAAGAGTTTCAAGTAAATGTGTTAAGCGAAATTTGTATAAACATTTTGTGTACTGAATGAACGACCAACTATAGTTTTGCGTGCCGTTTGTTTCGCGTATTCATTTCGTAACAAGCCCTTTTAAACTGTTTGACTGCACGTATGGCGTAGTGGTTTAAGCGGTCACCTCGCCGCTTCTTACTGCGCTGAGTGTTGTGGGTTCGATCCACACATGGGACAACACTTTGTGTCATCCACAAATTATTGTTCTTAGTCTAGGTGTTCATTGTGTCCGTTTGAATGAATGTTAGTAAAGATATATTCCTAGTGCAGGAGTTGTCTTTTTTTTTAAAGATACCTATTACCATTTTACCTATTACCATTTTTAAGGAATTTGAAGGTCATTAAAAGATGATGCTATCGTCTACGCTACTCCTGTCTAATATGTTGAGTAATTTCATAATTGACTGATTGGATTTTAGAATGTAGTCAGTAATATTTTATGCTGATTTCACTTTTAATAGCTAAGGTTATAGAGGCAGTCTTCTTTGACTTAATGAAAACTGATATATATTTGGCTTTCGAATGAGCACCAATACACTAATCTGTAAACACATAAATAGTCGGACTCTCTGAGCGGTTTTATCACTATTCCACAATCAACTATATCCTACACAGCGCAATAAATATGATGTAAATATATCGGAAACAAAAGGTAGCATTGAATAATAGCATGTCATGGTATTTGCTAGGTTTCAGCATCCGTCACGCCACGACTTATCCAATCTAAATCGATCATCGCTCACGAACGAACCGTCTATGGACACGCAAATCCAATAGTACTGACTGCCCCTCGGCTTTCGAATATCTGTATGTTTTATTATTCACCTATCATTAGTATTTAAAGAATATTTTTATGAAGAATAAAATGGGAAACAAAAACAAAATTTTTTACACACTGCATCGAATATCTTTACATATGAAAATTTTAAGTTGGTTTGTGTACGATTAAAAATCGCAAAGCCTTCTGCACTGATGGCGCTCAAATTTTTACAAGATGTACAAACCGTTTCATGGATTGTTGTTATCTATTTTCCGCGACAGTTTTTTTCATCACTTTTTATCAAAGAAACACAATGTGCTATAGCGAAGCGGTGGTATAGCTAGTTATAAATGAAAAGAAACGAAAAATGTAAATTTTAAAAGCATCGTGTGTGGAAATTTCGAATTAACTTGAACCTATTCTGTTTTCTACTTTTCCTCTATTGCCGAATGATGGCTCTTAAACTGATGCGCATAATTTTATTGTTCCTTGAGCATGGCCGCCTAAAATGTTGGACAATTGCTCGTATAGACAGACAGATTTAGCACTACGTTTTATTAATTTAATAAAGTATTTCAAATAAAGTCTAATAAAATAGCATTGGAGTTTAATAATTAAAAGAAAGATAATACATAGGTACCGGGGCTTGCTAGTTTGATACCCAAGGAGTTCTAGACCCACAAATTCTACAGTTGTTATTTAGCTGTCACTTCATTCAAAATTATTTTGACGACGCCGAGCATATTTTCTTCTTTTTTGCTTAAAAAGTTAAATTTACTTTTTAAACAGTGGAATACTACTTTTTAATACCACACTATTTTCCTTTGTAAATATAATTATGTATAAATTAATGCGCTTACTTGTAAGTTCGTACGTGTTTTCAAGGCAGACTTAATTAAAGCAGTGTTCTTAGGAGCGGGGTTCGGATGAGTCTTTTAGCGAATACTTACGTTAACTCTGAGTAAGTACACGCGTCTCACGGCTCATTGTTAATGCTTTGTGATTTCTGTAGAACGTACTAGAAGAGACATGTGTTACGAATTATTTTTTTCTTTTTTTTCTTTTTTAAAAAGACAGCGCCCGCATTAGGTATATATCGTGTGTCGCGAGAGACTTTACAAACATACATGAAACGGACACAAAGAACACCCAGACTCAGAACAACAATTTGTGGATCACACAAAGTGTCGTGCCATGTGGGGTTTGAACCCACAACACTCGGCGTAGTAGGAAGCGGCGTGGCGACCGCTTAAGCCACTACGCCATCCATGCAGTCAAGTTGAATTGTCTTCCATCTCTGTTTTTTTTTGCTCACTACCTAATCAAATTTACCTTATTCCTTTTTAAACTTTATTTGAAAATTGGAGGCGTGCCATAAGTAAAACGTGTTTTAGCCTAAAGGAACGTTTAAAAAAAGTCAAAAATTAAAAACATACCCACATACACAGAGTAATTGGGTATATTTTGTAAATTTTTGACCATTTTTGGATTTAAATATATTTTCAGGATGGCTTTAGTTTAAATAAATGGGGCAAGAATATATATTACCTTTAAATATACAACAAGGCATTAATTGTGAAAACTTATTAAATTTGTAATTATTTAATAGCAGCTAACTAGCAGATCATCTAACTTATTCCGTAGTTTGGCTCACTAATTTGCCTATTTCTGTTTAATTTACAATTTTACAATATGATTAGGGTTAGTTAAGCACTGTGCTATGTAGTCTAATATTCAATATGACGCCAACTATTGGCGATGACTCTTCTAGACACTTTTTATCTATGGTTGAAGTTAAGGGTACATTACTGAAAGAGGTAGAATTGTGAACATATCTGTTTAAGCCTTAACATCCACTGCGACGGGTCGGTGACGTATGACGTTAAGTATTATATACCCTTAATACGAGTAGATTGATTAAACTCATTTCAACTACTTCATCTTTAATTGGAGAAAACGTTCCAATGTTTTAATTTTCCATCTTTCTTTATTCCTTCAAACTTCCTAACCCATTGAACTTCATTCATATAGCTTTAGAATTAATAAATATTGTGTTAACTTATTACTTGAATTAAAATTGAAACCAGTATACAACGCCATCTTCATTTTGTATGGTTTTCTCCCATACACAATGAGAGTAAAAATGAACTTTGTTTTTTTATCGTTTATACCTTCTCATGCTTTAGCTACTTAACTGAATACGATACAGTTTCACGTAAACATTATGATGTTCAGAAAAGAACAGACCTTTCATCCAACCTTTCATTTAAAATTAGTGCATTGTCATCGGTCCTCGATATATCTACAAAGTTTGAACAAATTCTGACCGTTTAAAGTCAGTCTAAATCACGCCCAAAGGAGTCGGTTACAAACATACAAGTGAAGATAATATAAAGCGTTTAAAAAAGAAATAGTACAGATACACTAACGCGAGTGAAGCCACTTGCTATAGATATGCAAAATGTATACAAATAGAATTAAAGTTGAAAAAATCTGCGTCTTTTGTCTCTTGTTTTTGTTTAAATTATTTCGTGTCACAGCAATACGTTTTTAAACAACGCTGTTACCACTCTCGTAGTCTCCACGTTGTAGGCTACTTTTAAACAAAAGAAACCCTTTTGTTTATGAAAAACTTAAAGTATTCTTTAGCTATTGTTTGTTGCATTTTTCCCTCTTGATTGTCACATATCTCGCTATTCCAATGTCACTGACACAACCTTTATATAAATTAAATATTGTATTACCAACGAAAAATCTTTTGGATTTCATTTCTCGAAGTCGCACTCGACGTAAGCTTGGTGAAGCTTACAATACTCTAGTGCTCTTTAAGCCAAGCGGTCATGTCCGTTAGAATAAAGTTTTAATTCAGTACTTACACTTAAACTGGACGAACAAAGCACTCGTACAATAAACTCTTTTCAAGTGATCGGCTACTACGGCGACAAATTTCACTAGTTGAGTTCAACTGAAGAAATCTTTAAAAAAAATAATCAGTATGTTTCATTAATCTGCGATTTTTCATCACGGATTATTTTTGTATTCGATTTTTAAATAAAAAAAAAACAAGACGCATTAAGATACGTAGTAGTAGTGTAGCTGTTGATTTATCCCAATTTTTTTTTATAGACAACTCCTTTATTAGGAATATGTCTTGTGTCGCGGGGGACTTTTTACAAACATACTCGTACATGAACTGGACACAAAGAACACCCAGGCTCAGAACAACAATTTGTGAATCACACAAAATGTCGTTCCATGTGCGGATCGAACCCACAACACTCAGCGTATTAGTAAGCGGCGTGGCGACCGCTTAAACCACTAAAATTATAAATTTGATTTATTGATTTTTTACTGCACATAGATATACTCATGCCTATTCCCGGAAGGGGTAGACAGAGGTGTATTGAACACCCACGCTTTGACAACTGACCGATAAATATTGCAATAATAATAATAATATAAGGGAATTGATATTGATTATGGGCATGGATTACAACCGTAAGAAATACATCGAGCAGTCGCATAATTGTAAGTCCAACTAAATGTTACCGAATGTGCGAACCTTTTGATTTCGTTTTTGTTTTAAATTTGTAAGAAAGAAAGAAAAACTTAATAAATTTCTCCAATTGTAATTTTAATAAACTACATCCTTTGTACATTTAATAAACAAACGTCCAAAGTCTGCACAAACTATAACCTCACCTATCTCATTTAATTAATATTCAATTCCACGTATAGTTTCATAAAGCAAGGGTTTTAGCTGACCAAAGGACTGTCTCGGACAGTGGCCGACCCACAACTAAACCTCACCTAATCCAAGTCCCGTATTAAATCGTAGGCTAGGTGCTAACCTGCGACTACCCTCCGAACAGTCAGGGTTGACCAAAGCCTTTATTATTGTTTATTAGGTATATTATTTCGGGAACTATTAGAGGCGTTCTTGCAAATAGTAAAATAATAATGTGTGATAACTGAGTATTTTTAAATAAACCAATGTATTCATATTTTAGTGAGGGCAGAATATACATAGGGCCTAATATTAGATTTTTTTGTATAGCGTTTGAAGATATCTTTGTTCTTTTAAAGAAGATCTTTCTTTTCAAGTTGAATTTATGTATTTATTTCCATAAAAAACGACATGGGCCAGTTACGCTACATTTTTATTATCAGAATGTTCTTTTTTGAACTACACAGATATGCCCTTGTTTTAATATTAAACATTTTTAAGGTTAGGTACCTTGATTGACACAAACTATTTCGCTAAAGACCTTATCTAAAACTATTGAGAGTTAGAGCGAAACTGTAACTCCTATTTCAAAAGTACATACGTAACCCAAAAGCTAACACAGCTTAACCCACCTACACCCTATTATTAAAAGATTATTGCGGTGAAATTTATAATTTCACTATGTTTTGTAGAACCGAATTCCGGTATAGTAGGTATTATGTAAATTCAATAACTGCGGTCTTAGAGATATCTATTGTTTCCATCGGACACTCTATATCACTTTGTTTGCGTTTATCAAATTGAATGTGGGGAAATTTTGCACGTGTCTTCAATTCTATAAGATTTTGGGGTGTCTTAGTGTAGGTTTTACCTTATTAGGTTTTTAGATCTTGTAACGGGGGTCATATTTCATAATTTTATATTACTGTACCACATTTGTGGTTTCTCTTACAAACAAGCAAACAAGTCAGTCAAAGTAAGTGGTTAATAGTATCTTTATTAATGCAAAATGTCGTTACGAAATTAAACGTTAAAGTTATGAAATTAAACTCATAGTCTTACTTTTATTGTTGTCAGATTCACTAACAAATACATAAATATATTATTAACAGGTTTCATGTACGATGTAGATAGTTTAACTAATAGCCGGTTCTTTCGTTAATACTTAAACGACTACAACATTAATCTTCTTACTAATTATTTGAAAAGAAAAATGTAGTCGATTTTAGTAAGACTATTAATTAGCTATAAAAATTGCTAGCAACCGGCAAAAACTATTTAATATCATGCTAAGAAATCATTTACAAAGAAGGCCGGTGAAAGCATCGGTCGTCACAAAGAGATGGGCAGCCGCTTCCCTGCTTCAAGGATTAATTATTATTTTAACATTTCAGTAGGTTTTTTGCCCCGTTCGCGAGCAAGTCAAAAGCATTGCTTTCTCGCTTGAAAAGTTACTAAATAATTAAGACGGCTTCTTAGCGACAGGCGTTTCGACGGCCAAGATACTAAGTACGTGAGTTTTAAGAAGCAATTTCGAGAACAGATTTTTCCATTACCTTTTTTCGCTTTAAAGCACCAAGTTTTCAGTTCAATGATCTTTATTCATTATTAATGATTTGAGATTCTGAATAGTTATAATTGTAAGTCTCATCACCACCTTAAAATAACATTATATTTTCTTAAAATATAAACATTTTTAAAGCCAGCCAGGTTAAAGCCTTAAATGAGAAAACGTATTTTAAAATTTGATTGTTTGTTACATATGTTTGTATATACTTTAATAATTACTATGTAGCCACATATATTTTTTTTTATTTATTATAACTCTGTTTCATTAATAGGTGTATTTGACACCTATTAATGAAACAGAGTTGGGTTCAGACTTCTTTTACATTGAAACTTTATGTGTTCCAAACATCGCATTCCTAAGTTGCTTAAGGAAGAGTACGAAGAAATTTCTTTACTATAAAGTACTTAAATTGCCTACAGAAAAAGTAGGTAGTGGTATTGTAATTATTATTATTATTTATTAGCAAGACAAAATTTAAGTTTATTTGTAGTACATATTCATGCTATGCCTTACCCAAATACAATTTTAATTTTCAACTAGTTTCGGTTTAGAAAAAAAATACCACCACTCTGTTCTGTTCTTTGCTAATAAGAAAGTATAAGCATTTTTTTTTGTTGTAGGTAAAACTCTACCAGTCCACTGCGTGGTAGAAGCCCTTTCGTCGCTCGAAGAAGGCACCTGGAGACGACGAGCTGTGGTCGAAACAGACAGCTATGTTATTATACCAGCAGCTACGGCCTTTCATGAGCTCGTGCCAGCAGCTATGATGAGGCTTGGATATCCGCACGAACTAGCTGCTTCTGCTAGAGGTAAAGTCTAGCTGTTGATAAAGATTATATCTCAAAATAATTCAATCGCACTAAAGTTTTACAAAAAATTATATATACCATACTATTTACCATAGTAGACAAGAACTTGGTTAAATGGCAATTACAATCTCGCATCATGTGTTGCATATTACCATTCTGTAGTCACTTTTGTTTCAACTTGATAGCTAAGGGCAATAATCTAAGCACTAAACTAATATCGAATCTAAGTACTATTATATTTTATATCACTTATGTTTTCTTTGTTATCAGGTCAAGTAGTCATAAATAACTGGAAACCGCTACCTTTCGAGAGAATCTCCGATGGTCCTTTGGCTACTGTGGGTGAAGTTCTTGGCGAACTGACAACTGTTGTGACGCTTCGCATCCAACTCCTAAGACCCAGGCCGACACCTTTACAGGATATCAAAGACAAACTCTTGAGACTCTTGCTGGTGCAAAGCCGGCCCTTGCTGATGTCAACTGGCTGTCCTTTGGATGAGGTAAGAAAGGTACATTATAACAATTTGTTGTAGAAAATCGATATGAACAGCAATATCACAGCATTTTTTTAAAATAAAAACGACACACAGTTTGAAGTAACTAACAGTTTGAAGGTTATCCTCGAATTAAATCATATTTATAGGTGGTTTTAATTTTTATAGCATACTAGTAAACTCAGTAAACATATTAAATAGAAACTCCTGAGTTGCAGGCGTTCATGTGCGGTGGTTACTTTACATCAGATGACCCGTCTGCTCGTCTGCCCCTCTATCATAAAAAAAACCTTCCTTCGTTCTTTAAAAAAAAATACTTTGTAAATTTATACAAAAAAAAAGAAGAAGACGAGACTGAATAGCGAAAAAAGATACCTAATAGTGCAGCTTCGGTAGCTAAAACTCAACAGCAACAATGATAATGTGAATACTTCATACGACAGATCGCTTCTAAAAACATCTGTCAAATCAAATTATACAACGACCGATTGGGGTGTTAAAATCATCCCGATTGCGTGACAATGACTGTACGGTACGGTGAGCTAAACCAACATTTAGAGAATGACGTTATATACCGTGATTGCCCCGACCTGACTCACAATACCCCAACTAAACCTTTACCCCTTATTACCGTGGAAACTCATTGTTTTCCATATTTTAAGCCCGCTTTGTAAACGCTTTCAATCGAGAACATTTATCCTAGTAGCTGTTTGTGTATTGTTTTGACGATTTAATTAAAGATTTTGTGCTTAAGACTCGTTATTTTCGTATTGAGATTTCGTTTTACGTACATTATTAAGAAGTTACATTTATTTTAGGAATAAATCAGAAATTTATTACCTCTACTAAAATGAATTTAAAACTTCAGATTTTTATATAAAATTTATTTATTATGATTATTATTAAATTATTAGTTTTTAACATTGTTACTAGTCGATATGTAGGTACCTATACAGTATTAAGTGTACAGTATCATACGGTACACTTACTGCCTATTTACTGTTGTAATTAATAATTTTACGATTTGTACTTTATCAACATTTGAGTTAATCATAAGAAGGAAGTATAAGGTTATCTATAAAAGAAAACCAACTAAAAATAATTAAAAATAAGTAGCCTAAGCTTAAATATATTCGATCGAAATTTCATAAATTTCTAACACTTCTATTACTTCACCAAAGTTTTTATACACAGTGCTACAGGATCAGGCTTGCAAAATGAGGGAAATACCTCCACACTAGAGCGCTCCTACTTATAAATTTTAACAAGAGAAAGCTCATCACATCTCGAAAGACAGATTATCAAACTCCGTAAGTAGCTCGGTACAATTTGGTCGTTATAATTGCGAGGTTACTACTAAGACCCTGCTAATAGGGATCATCGCTGGGGGAAGAATTATGCAGCATTTGTTTTCATGTTCGCGGCTCTTAGCGCTGACAATGAAATGTTTGAAGACTTGTTTGATGAGTTTAGCTGTTTCATATTTGTGTTCTTAATATTAGATTGTTTTAATAATCACTTGAATACGTCTCCTTTCTGCTTGCTACTTATGTTGTACTAATGCTGTATTTGAGAACTGGTTTAAATTTAATATTTATTAGCTCTGCTGTTTGAAATATGATGATGATGATGTTACATTAAATAATCACTCAGACTTTGTTGTACAAACAAAGATACGAACACACTTAAGGTACATTTTCATTAAAAACCACATTGCAAAGTTAAGCAATCCTTGCCAGTCAGTGTATGGATGGGTTACTATCCCTAGTGCCTTGAGATACCTCCGTGCCTCGGAGAGCACGTTAAGCCGTCGACCCGGTTGCCTAACGAACATGTGTGGCAATTGGTTTGCATTGGTAGTTGAGGCCCTAAAAAGTTCGACAATAGTCTATCTACAGAACTTCGATATCTCTAGTACTTGGGTTTTTGAGTCTGATGGAAGTACCTCCACGTAAAAAAATAAGTGCAGCCTTGTCGTACAGGCTAAAGGTCGACCTTAACCTAGTTTGGGATAAGGCTCGGAGGATGATGATCGGAGTATGTGACAATAAATTAATACTTAAAGTATAACCTATTAAGAATAGAATGGTAGGCGCGATTCATATTAATTAAAGATATATTGCTTATAGGGTAAGCAAATATTTATTTTTAAAACGATTTAGATCTAATTTAAGTAATTAAATTCCGGTGTCCATCATTTGCAGTTTATGGGGTTTTGCATTTATAACTTGTATATTATGACACATATACCTGAGGTTTGGAGGCATACAAACAAAATAAAGATTACAAAATTATTAGTCAATTCATTATGAGTCGATTCAACGCGCTTGGTTTGCGCCTAGAAAGTGCAAATTGTAACTGGTAGTTACTTTTAAATAACTTACTTTAAAAATTATTTTAATAATTACTTTTAAAACTTAAGGTATTATTAATGTCAACGCTAAGTATCTTAGCTATGTCATAAAGTATTAAGAAGGTACATTAGGTATAGGTTTCAAGCTCTAGATAGCGCTTCAACAATTTGTCGATGCGATGAGCACCTGCCTCACACAGGAGATCTCCATACATAATAAATTTAATTGAATCTCACTCTCATCCACGCCTCGCAAGGCCTTATTATATTTTCTAAATATCCACCTTGTTGCGAACGGGTTAGGGCGCGGGGTGTGGTATGCGGGGGTTGCCCTCGTCTTCTAACTTGAGCAACACCGAAAGAGGGTTAAAAGGAGTTTTAGATGTACGAACGCTTTTGATCTTATTAATAACATAAAATAATGCTTTATAATCTCATTAAACGCGAGGTTAGCGCTTCGTAGTAGGCGCCCTCCTTCAGCCATAACCGTCTCTACGGATCTATATTTCAATTTAGCTTTTACACTGACACTGTCAAGAGGGCCACTTAGTTTAAATATGGATCACGTATGGAAGCCATAGCTCTGAGCTGTAGTAAGATGTCTGATTGAACACCCACTTCTGACTCTGAATGAAACAACCCCATTTTTTGAAAAATTTGGACATACCTTCACACCGGTAGTCCTGGTGAGGTCAAGACACGCAAAGCGGATGAATGATTTAAGCTTTAAAAAAAAGTATCTTTTAATCTTTTCTACTTTTTATAACAAAAAGTGCGTTTGGCTCACTTAAAAGTGCGTTGGACTCAATAAATGTTATCACAAATATGTGATAACAACTATTTATGGGCCAGAGAGGGAATTCTACCTTCATTAGAATCATAAAACACATGACTCCTATAGAATAGGTTACTGTTGATATACGAGTAAGCTGATATTTAATACAATGTCGAAAGTCCTAGTCGTTACACTGACAGAAACAAATTGATGTTCAACAAAGTTGTACAAATGAACCAAAGGGAGTCGACCAAGCAAGATAATCAAACATTTGAAACAGTGAATTTGTAGCTAAACGCCAGATGAACTCGGCTCTATGATATTATGGTAATTTATCTCACGCCAATTTGCGCCACTTCGATTTTAACTCTGAACGAACTTTCAGACGCTCAAGGAATATTTTATCGAAGGGTTCCTCGAATGCCACCTCGCTGCAGGATCAATTTTAAACCATAAATCTTCTTTAAGACTACTTTCTTACTTAATTTCGAAATCTCTTTGAAATTTCAAGGTTCTGTTAAACGGGAACAATTTAATCACTCATTCACGCGCTAAGAAGCGTATGTATGTGATGTACACAGTACGAAAATAATGTTATACTGATAAGACTAAGCCTAGTGTGTTCAAAGTTGTCCTTTTAACTACAAGTATATCAAGAAATGTTCGCAATCACACACCGAATTACGTACTTAGGCGGATTACACGTGACGAGAGTTATCACGCGAAGGCGCCAGCTCTTGTAAATCTTCCATGAAACTGAAACGGAGTATATCTGAAAGCAAATATGGCCTTACTATTTAAAAATATAAAACAAAGAGGTGGATTAACGTATCACTGTAGCGCTCCGCTAATACCTCTGACATGATTTATAGGGACGTTCTCAATGTGTAATGCTTACAGTTTTAATATCTGATTTAGCAACAATGTAACAGCCCGTTTGACTTGACAACTTGGTTGACGACGTAATCACTGGTATTGTTCTATGTAATCTAGTGATACGAACAGATCTCACTTGCATAACTGTCAAGCTGTGTAAACTCCGCGACGGAGCTATAATCTGACAAGTTCTTTATGATTGACTACTTGCTGTGTTATTAATACCTCTCCAAACATGCACTGTTATCGTTTTGAATAAATAAATGTGAAAATCATTTGTAGTTACATGGTTTGTTTAAACGTCAAATAGCGGCATCGAATCGGTTGGAATAGAAGCATATCGTCGGTTTTGTTTAACAGACTGGATGCAGTGCGATGGCTGTGCAAGCACTTAATGTAGAGCGCGTTATGCCGGTGCTAGTTGAAGGCGTAGTGGGTGGATGCTAATTGCCGAGACGCCCTTTCCGCTCATTGTTTTAGAGCAGACCATGATTGAAGTTTCGTCGGCGCGCAGAGTGATGCGCACTAACCACCGAGTAAACACCTCTCGCGTTAGAACCCCACCGACCACTTGCGCATGACACATGCATTAACAACCGACCTAATATTTTCATAATCTAATGGCAAAGTTCTGTGAAACAATGCTGTGTTTACACAAACAATTATCTCTGTATCTGTTGCTGGTTAGACTGACCTCTTTAAAATCGTCTAAAATTGTTTGAAGTATCTATCGGTTTATTTACTCTTAGAGTTACTTTATGTGACCTTCATTGTAAGTTATGTTTTTTTTGTTGTAGGTTACGTTGGCGCAGATATGCCGCGGTCAAGATCGAACGCCCGGTCCTCATAATTTCCACGAGCCATCGGAAGAAATGCGCCGTAAATTTGAATCTTGGTGGAGTGCCCAAGTATCACCCCGACCTCCGCCGTTTAGCCCACGTCGGTACCCATCCCCGAGCCCCAAAAATCGTTCCCCTACTCTCAACACGATGCCAGACCATTTACATCCAGCATTGCAGACTGTTCAAAGTCAATATCCTACACAAAAAACACGAATGAGGACGAGTTTTGATCCTGAATTAGAATTACCAAAATTACAGCGTTGGTTTTCTGAGAACCAACATCCAAGCAGACAACAGATACAACAGTATGTACGAGAATTAAATAACTTAGAATCACGGCGTGGTCGAAAGCCCCTTGATGTAAACAATGTTGTTTACTGGTTTAAGAACGCTCGTGCGGCGCAAAAGCGTGCCGAACTCCGGAACATCGGTGGACTAAGTTGTCACCTCAGCGTAAATGGATTCAACAGTAGAAGTCATAGTCCAACAAACGGGTCCTTAATGCCTGGAGGGGACCATTACGGTTCTCAGGATCATAATTCAATGAAAAGCCCTATGCAGCTTTCAGGTAGTCCTGGTCGATACCCTATGTCTGTAATGTCTGAGGATAATCTGTCTAATGGAGGCTCAGATTTAGACGATGATACTGGCGATTTAAACCCAGATGATAGACCAGAAAGTCCTGATGCACCATTGTCTTTGATCACCACTAAGAAAAACAATGACAATGATACTAATGATAGACCCCACGAATCGCCAAAACCACCAGACATAATTAAGGTAAATATCTCAAATATCGTTTTTCTATTGCTGTTTTCTGAAAAATGTATTATTTGTATTGTAAATGTTTTGCTAGTATTGTAATAAATAATCATAATTTCATTGACAGAAAAATATTTTCAAGATATTTTTCACTAGCACGAACTAGCAAATTGTAGGACAAAAAAATACTAACAGTATCTACAGCCGAAATAGGTAATACTTATGTTTCAGAACATGGCCCCTCTCTAGAATAGTCATTCGATTAAGTTTTACAAAAAAAACATTATTGTATGTAACGAAAATCTACGTGTTAGAGAGAGTGTGCTATTCCTTTTTTTAAGTCAATTAAATTTATTATGGTTACCTAAATTAATAACGAAGCATACACACCACGTGAACCCGTAAACACTGACTTGGATTAGACCCAATATTTTTAATTAATATTATTATATTAATTTCATTTTTTGTTGTTGTAGGTTCACGATATCAAACAAGAACCGAGGGATTTAAGTAAACCCGACAACACAAACTCACCTCAGCGATCTCCAGCGAAAAACAGCGACGCAAGTTCACATAACAATAACAGCAGCAACAACAACAACAACGATGATGAAAATGGCGTTGGAGAAGAACATGATGGCTCCGACGAAGATGTAATACAAGAAAGGCATTACACGCCTGCTTCCCCACATCTTGACCGCCTTCCTTTCCCTATGGTTCCAAACCATCCAATGTTTGGTCATGGAATCATGTACATGAGCCAATACATGAGTGGATTTCCTGGCGTTGGTGCCGTACCGGGAGAAGGAGCAAGCGGCTTGAACCTAGCTCTTGCTGGAGCTTCAGATGAACGTCGCAAGCGTAACAGGACATTCATAGACCCAGTGTCTGAGGTCCCGGTTCTTGAACAGTGGTTCTCCATGAACACGCATCCTTCACATAACTTGATCCTTAAATATACGGAAGAGTTGAATAGGATGCCGTACAGGCAGAAATTCCCAAGGCTTGAGTCCAAGAACGTGCAATTTTGGTTTAAGAACCGCCGGGCCAAGTGTAAGAGATTGAAAATGTCATTATATGAACCGTCATCTCCAGGGCATTATTCTCATCCGGGTCATCCCCATGCTATGGCTGAAAGGAAACTGGTATGAACTGATCACTCCAGTCACTAATGAAAGTGCGAGAATTTAGTGTTTGTGGCATATACCCGAAAGACTGATATCGAATCGTTTAATGGTGTGCAGTGCCATGTTAGTATTATAATGACTTTACGTCATTCTGACTTTTGAAAACATTTCGCATTATTCGGAGGACTTAATTAGTAACTGTGTAGATTATTATGATTATAATTTCGCTTAAGGTAGATGCTATTTGAACGCGATATCATTATAAGTATATGGTAGTGTCAAGTTATCTGATAGAACGATCACATCGCACTGTTTACTGTGTACATAGCTGTAGGCTTAAATGACTATTAGAGGACAAGTTAGTAACTATTAGTGAAGGAATCTCAATCCTGATATGTACATATGCAAATCAGAACTCGGTTTTATTTATTATATTTTACAGTAGCTGTATAGGTATGTTGTTAGAAGTTAAAATATCGATATTCTCATTAAAAGTTCCACTTAAATTATAAATAGGTCAAAATATAGAATTGTATTCAATGTTATTCTAATTATGTACACTATTTGTATAATTAGTTTTGAGTCATAATATTAATGATATTGCACATAGTAGTATATTGGAAATGATATTACTTGTTCGGCAGGGGTTCGATGGCCGTTCTTACGCACATTCCTCAATATGTACTGTTTTGTTATGAATGTATATAATGCTTCCTCAATCCAAAGATCAGTTAGTGGAGGGTCACATTGTGTGAACTGGTATTATAATATCTCGATATCTTACTGGGTGAAGGGACTTTGCACACGTGATGCGATTTAAAATTGCTACACACTGTAAATGAATTTCTCAGAAGTATCCGAAGGTGGTATCCGTTTAGATTCAAACTGCATTCACGTTGGTTTCAAATTATGCAGTTCCCATAAGCCTTGTAATCTGTTGTTTATATAGAATGAACCTGTGCAGTTAATTTTATTTTTAATCAGAACTATGGAAGTAAAGTTGTTCGAAATATAGTCACGACCACAAGTCGATGTGATTGCAATTGGAAAATATCCAAGAATTACATGCAGCAGCATATTGCTGTTTTAAACAAAATTTCGCTTCCATTTATAATGGCTATTGATTTTTCGTTTACCTCCCTAGAACTGTATAAGAATAACTACGTGCTACTAAATATAATTAAATTCCAGGTCGTCAGAAGCATAATTTAACTAGGTTTTTTGATTCATGATTGTTAGAGGTAATGTAATCAAATTACGAAATAACCCGTTTCACTTACAGATTTTCTATCGAATTAATTTAAGGACATATTATTATTCACATTATACAAAAAAAGGGTCTGTCCTCTTTTTTGTATACAATAAATAAGAAAGAGTCTATTTCTTACTTATTTACTGAAGAACACGGTCTAGTAAGACAGTTAGGCGCCCATCCCTAGTATAGGGTAAGAGCAAAAGTGTTTTAAACTGTACCCTGTACGGTATGATGAGTTAATGCCGCTGGTCGGCGCTTGACCCGAGTCCTTAAAACATATACAACCTTACTCCGATATCAGTGAATCAAAAAAATATGTGTTAACATTAAAATATATTTATAACAACTATTTCTCTTGGTGCATAGTCCGTGGTTTAAATCACATCTTCTGTTACAGTATTTACGCATTTATCAGTTGAGGCTGTTCCATCAGTTTGTTTTATAGTTTTAGACACATCATAGTTATAAAGACCCACAGTTTGTTTTGTTGGTTTAATGTTATGCTTGTTTTCGTGAAGCTGTGATGAAATTTCCAAATATTGTAAATATTTTATTAATGTTACATAAGTTTTATTGTAAAACTACGTCACTAGGCTCACACAAACAATTTAAGCATTTACCGCTTAGATAACGAAAATATTGGCTAAATGTTTATTCGATTCAATTATATAAACAAATTTAATTGAATATAATATGAAAAAGAAGATGTTGTTTTATTTAAAATTTATAACCATTAAGTGCAAAACACTTTCAGCGTCTCAATTCTGGCGTTCAAAAGACAAGCTGCTTACGAATACGAAGAAACATACCTACTATCCTTCCTGTTCCTGTTGAAAGGAAAGCATTTTCCGAATGTATGACATTCCCTATTTTACTTGTACTTTACTGCTTGACTGGCACAAATTGGCCTTCAGGATGTAAGTCATTCTGAATCTTTTGGAACACTAAAGTTTGTTCTCTTTTCAGATTTATTTTACTATACATTTTCCCTACGATTAAAGGTACCAGAAAATAGAAAATCAAATTATTACAAGTGCTAGTATAAATAAGACGTACAAGACTAGTTGGATTAATAGCTTAATCTATAAGTGCTGCTCCTCAACGATAATTAAATTGAAATCGCTCCAATTAGATAACAGAATTAGTTGTACTTGTACTACTATAACATCGCAATAAAATAAATATTCTATTCCAGATTTGTTATTTAGCGTCCATAAAACAAATCCATACTGTTATTAACTAAATAGTTTAAGGCTCAAACTTCCCGTCAACAAGCAGTTTGAGCTGTAGGTGTGTAACCTTGGTATGATCGAGGTATTGCTGATACTCCCCAATCCATTGTATTAGGCAATAGACATTTTCCTAGCCTACATAGCACACAAGACTTTAACTGTTCCATTACCACTACAAAGACAAAAGCTGCCTTAATTCGCTTTGGCTTGTTGCTTTCAACTTCAATAATGCACTCTTACAGATTATACGTAGAATATTCCAGAGTTTTTTTTTCTGAATACAAAAGTATTATGTCTTCTTACATTATACTAATCAGTAGCGTAAAAAGGCAACAAAATTAAATACCTAAAACTATATACATACCACACATACAGTTTTTTTTAATTACTAGAGTGATTCATGAGGAAGATTTAGGTGTTGAATTTGTTAAGGTTTTGTAAAAATTGGTTGTAGTATGATGATAACTGTTGAAAATGTCTGAAAAGTCAAGCCGCCTGAGAGCTATCAGTGAAATCAAAGTCAAGCGCACGCCGATTACGCTAATCTGACAAATCATACCTATTCGATGCAACAATATATTTTATATACTCAGAAAACCAGGACTGCAACTGTGGTATGTTTGAGTTTTTCCTTGCTGTATAGGCGAAACACTAATTGTATTTCAGTAGAAGTAAATTGGTAAGTGACTCAATGACAAAAATAATTGACACATTAGGCCTGCTTAGTAGCTAAAAATTCAGGCTTCTAGTTTCATCCGCAATGAAGTTACATAAGGGGGATCACTGCCGTGCAGCCAGATCTTTCAAAACGTGAAGCTATGAAGCTTATCTAAGAAGCACATCCCGTAGTATTACCAACACATCAATCGAGTAGTTCTCTTTGTTAATACATGTGTCAATATTAATAGTTATCTGTAGGTTTGCCTGCGGAAACGGTCGGCGCGGGGACCCAAATCACCTGTCAAACTTCCAAGTCTTGGTGTAATCGCCAACGCTATCTTCAGACGTCTTTGTCAAGACTTCGATCTTTGGTGAATGACCGGCTGGCTCTGTTTCGGGGCTTCATACAGCATTAGTACATCTAAGTTCCAAACTTTGAGATACTCAAGTTTGCCTGCAAGGCGTTTAAGATTACATATTTTAGCAATAGGAATACGTCAATTAATTTAAATCGAATGTCTCGAAGATTGTAACGGAGGTATTTTATGTAAAGCTTAATATATTGACTATTAATAAAATGCAAGTAATATAATCTCCTAATATCCTAATCCTCCTAATATAAAAACCTCCTTTCTAAGGAGAGGCTTATGTCCAGCAGTGGACTATTAAAGGCTGTTGATGTTGATGATGATGAAGTAATATAACTACCAACGTAATACGTAACACTACTCTGTTAAACAGCAAATGTAAATTTGGAATAAAACGCCTTTAGTTTTACACAAATTTTAGGTTATGAATAAAGTTGATATACTTTTTATGTAGGCGCTCATTTACCTAATAGAAAAAAAACACTTTCGTCGCCGTTATATTAAAATATTAAAACTGCAGCACTAACTGGAAAAAAATCTTGATTGATGCAACAGAAATATACAAAAGTTAAATTCCACACAGAAAATAATAGTGCTATTCAAAAATTAATCTATATTTAAAAAAACTGCGCTTATTTGAACACGATAAATCAAGTTCTTGCAATTGTAAAGCTCTTTTTGTATTGAGGTCTGACATGCGCGTCTTGAGTGCAAGAGTGTACCTACTAAAACGTTCAAAAGTAGAGCGAAACGGATTATACCAATTAGAGCGATTTGAAGTTCGCGGAATGATTCTTTGATCGTGCGCACTTGCTCACGGTTCTTATCCATTCTTTAGCAAATACGCTTTTGAGCGCTATCTTAATTATTTCGATCTCATTAGGAAAATATTCAAGTTCTAAGCACATAATAATGTTTGGAATTCCACCTTAGGTACTTAACGAACTTGTTTCATTGTTTTAATGATGGACAATAAAGTAGGATTAATAATAAACACCGGCATACTTTTATGTTAATTGGTATGAAAGTTTCGACAGGCGTTTTATGATAACGTCTTTAGATGAAGAAGTAATTTAATCATCGTATTTTGTAAACCTACATTCCTAGTAGGTGGACTGATAAGTATCACACATATATATTTAAAAAAACTAAATCAAAATAAGTGTATGACATGGCAAGTGACTACCACCTTCCATAGTCCATACCTATATGTAAGAGTCAGAACTGCGTTGCTATCTTCTGAGCTGTCCCCAACGGAGTTAGGGGAAGTTGGGGCTCCGGTAACCTCGGAATGTTTTGTTTTTTTTATTATTGTTATGTATTCTGTTAAACATTTTCTTTAACTTTAAAACGTGTGTGAATCACTAAAGGTTTTTGTAGACGTTTATACATTTATTTTTTAATAATACTTATTACTTTATGGGTAATGTTAAATTTTTGCTCTTGTTCTACTTTATAACCTTTAAATTTTTACAATTTTGTGCTTTCGCGTTTGCATAAAAATACGTA